AAGGCAGGAGCAATGACAGCAAATGGAGAGGGTACTAGGGCAAAGCAGCAAGGAGGGGAGAGCTGTGCTTGCGGTTCTTGGCCAAGGTCTAAGTGTGCGGAAGGTCAGCCATAGGAACACAGCCAACCAGGCTCTCAAAAAGCACATCAGGATGGCTTTTGAGGACAGTCCCCCATGTGGCTTGGGTCTCCAGAGCCTGGTGGAGCCGGAGTCCCCGAGTGATGTTTGTCCCCATCCTTCAGGTTGCAGCTGAGGATCCAGTGTGTTCCCACACCTGGCTGCTCTCCTTCAAACTCTCCCTGCTTCTCATCTCTTCCTTCTACCTGTCCCTTGCCTCTTTGTGCTTCATTTCTGGGTATTCTCTCACCTCATTTACTTTTTTAAAAGTAAAACACGCAAAATATGATTTCCACATTTTCTGTATGTGGCATGTGATTATATACATTACTGAACTCCCAACAAGCTGTGCTCTCTGTTTCAGTTCATGCAGAGCCTGGGGGCTGCTTAGAGACACATTTGCCAACAGATGCACACTCGAAGGTGGACAGGCCACAAAAGTCCAAGAATGTGTGGTGACCAGCATGCTTGTCAGCCCTTATTATCAGCCCTTACTAATACTTACTATTGTATTGCAAATGGCACAAAGGACCAATCAATTTCTAGCAGTCTTCCTAATGGCTCATATTACAGCAGGAATTCATCCCATGTTTGTCAGAACTGCTATCCGACCTTCCCAGGTGGCCAACTGCGCTGATCTGAAACCAAGACCAGCACTCTTTGGGAAGAGGGAACTGATTCTGTTATGCAAATGGTTTCAAAGATGAAGATGGACTCTCCTGGGCATTATAATGACTGCAGAAAGGGTGCCAGATATCAGAGAAAAGTTTCTTATGCCCACATAATAGAACAGATTTGAAAGATGAGTGCATTTATAGCTCTTCGGGAGCGAAGAAACAAGAAAATCAAGCATGAAGGGAGTGGGTGAGAGACAGTGAAAAGGAAAATCCAGCAGAGACAGGCTGCTGAACATCTCTCCCCAAGCAGGGAGAATGATCATCTGGCAGCAAAGCGAGGGCAGCCCCTGGAGGGTCAGACTGGGCAATCCCCTTTATCTTCTGTAAGCAAACTGGCCAAGGAGATGACGGAGGAGGGAGATGATGGTGCAGGTTTAAGGAGACAGGCAAGGACCAAATTTAAGAGCCAATGTAAAGCTCCTGGCTCTCATTACTCTTAAACGTTGATACTGGACCAATGTTCTTAGCACAGTCACAATTATTGAATAAAGCAGGCCTTGTCTCCCAGGAAACAGTGTTAAAGACATGAGCAGTAGCCTAGTGGATAAAGTCATCATCTTGCACGTGCCAGGATCCCATATAGACACCAGTTCTAATACTGGAGGCCTAGCTTCCCATCCAGATCCCTGCCGGTGGACTGGGAAAGCAGTGGAGGATGGCCCAAGGCCTTGGGATCATGCACCTGTGAGGGAGACCCTGGAAGAAGCTCCTGGCTCCTGGCTTTGGTTTGGCACAGCTCTGGCCATTGCGGCCACTTGGAGAGTAAATCAGTGGACAGAAGATCTTTTCTCTCTGTCTTTTCTCCTCTCTGTATATCTGACTTTCCAACAAAAATAAAATAAAACTTTAAAACAAGACATGAATTATGAAAGTAACTCAATCTAATGCATGAGTACGAGCAGATCAAATTTGAAAGTTATCAATAGGACAGAGGGGACAGGACACTATCAGGTAGAATATTCTATGGAAAGTAATATTGAACTTTAGGCATGGCAAGAAAGTGGACAGGAGAGCAGGGTATGGCAAACTGTAGGAGACAGCAGGGCTTAGGAACAGGTTTGGTTGGTGGTATTTCTTTCTTTCTTTTTTTTTTTTTAATTTATTTCTATTGGAAAGTCAGATACACTGAGAGGAGGAGTTAGAGATGAAGATCTTCCATCCGATGATTCACTCCCCTAGCGGCCACAATGGCTGCAGCTGAGCCAATCTGAAGCCAGGAGCCAGGAACTTCTTCCTCCAGGTCTCCCACACGAGTGCAGGGTTCCAAGGCCTTGGGCTGTCCTCGACTGCTTTCCCAGACCACAAGCAGGGAGCTGGATGGGAAGCATGGCCGCTGGGATTAGAACTGGCGACCAAATGGGATCCCAGCACTTTCAAGGTGAGGAATTTAACCACTATGCTATTGCGCTGGGGCCCAGTTGGTGGTATTTCTAAAGGAAGCCAAAAAAAAAAAAAAAATTAAGGACCAACCAGAAGGAGATGGGTTGCTGGGCTCCCCACATGCAAGGACCTGGGAAAGGAAGGAGAGAAGGTCCAGCAAGGAGACTAGTGCTGAATGGAGGATGCAGTAGGGGGAAAAAAAAAAACCAGGTCTGATGTGGGCATATCCCAGGATCAAGTGCAGGCCCAGCGCAGCTCACACAGACATGCACACCTGTTGGAAGCTGGCACATAATCCCACTCCAATCCAGGATCTGGGTGGAGTTTCTCCTGGGGAGAATTCATAAATACTTACCTTTCCTAGCAGGGGCTAGAACGGCACAACCCATTTTACAGCTACAGAGACCCTCACGCGCCTGGATGAGCCCCTCATGGGTCCCTTTCACCTGGCCGTTGGACTTTGCTAGAGATGGAACAATCGGCACGAAGGTCACTCTCTGACTTCCTTGAGGATCTAGCCTATCTTCAAGGGTTCACTGGAGGTTAATCCCCAAACTGCTCCCTATTCATTGCTGTAAGGAAGTTGAGACTCTTTATAAACAGAAAATACAAAAAGCATGGAGACCAACTTGTCCCAAGTCCTGCTGGGTCCCAAATTCGGCCAGATGGTTGGTCACCAAGGCACAGGGACTGGGACCATCAGTCACTCTGGAGACACTGACCTCTGCATGAAGCGGTGGAGAGCAGAATGAGCATTTTCTTAGTCTCCTTTGGCGCCAGTTACCCAAATCTGCTAATGTTTCTACCTGGGTGCCTGTGTAACTGAAGGTTCATGTCTGGGTACGATTGGTGCGGCTGGGAGGCACACGAGCTCCTCCCACTAGGCCTCTTGTAGGAGCCAGTAGCAGGATGATCTATACACCTGGAACAATCAGTATTTAGGAGTCTCAGAGCACAAGCTCCACATGGGGCCATTTATTCTCCATTTGATTTTGTAATTGGTAATGGGGAATAGCAACTGGTCATATGGATGGATTTTTTCACTAAAAAAAAAAAATCTGTTTCAAAACAGCTTGTCTACTGGTTTAGGGGCTAAAGTGACCATGATCTTAGCTCTACTTGGTAATTTAAATAACTGATTTTGAAGTTGCTGATAAACAGTTGATGGTCAGGAGAGCGAAGACTTTCATGTGTTAGAAACTGCTGAGAAAAGAACTTATGACCTGGCTTGGGAAAGCAGAGCCTGGTGGTGTGAGAGAGACAGAAACATGCCCACAGGACTGACCACAGCTAGAACCACTGGAGGGACTTCTGTGCTCTTCAGTTTAGAACTGGAATAAAATGACGAGGGTCTTCCATTTCCCCACATTTGCCACGTCCTGCATGGATGTGACCCAGGGTTCTGAGACAGCTGGGTGCAGGCTCCTTTGGGTTCCTGGGAACTCGCCGGGAGGCACTGGCTTTGGCCTCATCTCCCTGTTTTTGATTAGTTGTTAAGACACTTCTCAATGAGCATCACAGACAGCTGTGGCCCAGCAGTCTCCAGATGGCAAAACTCAGGGGGTTTCCAAATGCAGGAGTCCCCCCACAACCAGGGACTATGTAAATGCCGTCACCACAGACTGTTTAGCTCTATAAACGCACAGCCCTAAGTGGGAGAGTAGAAGCCAGAAGACAGATTCAGCAGTGTGAGGTCACCCTGATAATCTCAGGAGAATCAACCCTTTGTTACTTTCACTTCTTGCTACTCTGAGTCAAGGCAGAAGACTCACAGTGTTGGAGACAAGCAGATGTTGCTGAAATTCTGTGTGAATGAGATCAGTTACAGCCTAGGGATTGTGAGTAGAGAATGCAAGGACTTGGTGTTTCTCCTTCATTCAGGAATTACTATAATCTGGTGGAATCTGAAAATGCTTCACACTCCTCCCTCCCCTCGGTAAATAATCACCTTTTTTAGGCCACGGGAATAATCACGTCTGTGCCAACGGGCCCCAACTGCACATGAGGGATACTTGCTTCCAGAAAGAGATGTGGGGGCTCTGCCTGGTATTGATGATGCCCCCAGGAAATTGTTTAGCATTAGAGCCAGGAAAGCAAGGTCCCTGAAGAAGCAACACTGAGCAGGAGCTGTGGCTGCAGGGAGAAGATGCCCCCAAAGCAGCCCCCATGACCATCCTGAGAGCCCTGTTGTCGCTGCAGTCCCAGCCCCTCCCATGGCAGCGACATGCCTCCTTGGGGTAGACTGCCAGGAAGGTGGCTGCCTCCTGAAGTGGCTAATGAGGTGACAGTCATTGTACAGCACCGTACAGGGGTGGGGGTGGGAGGAAAGCAGTGAGGCCTGAAGGGTGCTGATAGCATGAGCTCATGCTGGTGGGAGACTGCCGAACACTCCTGATACTGCAGAGGAAATGGAAATACTGCAGGAAATCAATATGTGAATACATTTTTATTCTGCTGCAGAATGACTCAATCTGTACTCCTTTCAGCCAACGGCTGGGAGAGGGAGGGGTCCAGGGAGAAGCCACTGCTTGGCAAATGGTCAAAGTTCAGCTCAGGCTTTGTCTACAGCCTGCCTCAGGAATCCCCTAAACTAAAGGCAGCGTTTGTTCCCAGAAACTTTTGAGACAGCTGTAGCAGATGCCGCAGGAGCCAAGAGAGCCTGAGATGGCTCAGGAAAGTGGCTGCTCACCTCTTCACGCATCATTCCTTCCTGAGGGCACTAAATTTGTAGCAAACATTAAATGCGGGAAGGCCTATGTTCAGATGTCCGTTCTGGGCATACATTCAGACAGTAAGTATAGCAAAAGAAAGAAAACCAGACCATACCTTCATCTCTTCTTCCATTTCCGACATCTTCCGCTCCAAGGCTCGCCTCTCCTGTTTAGAGACAATGAGACTGTCAGAGGCAGTGGGACTGCTGCCTTCCAGCTTCCTGGCCAACAGGTGTGTGACACTGACAGAGGCCAACAGGCCCGGGAGACAAGAGCCTATCTGATCATCTGCTTCTCAGTGGGTAGATGGCATTTGGTGTTCTCTGTAGATTGAAGAATTCATGGAATGTCAGATGACTCCAATGACCAGATATTTGCTCTGTTAACCAACAGGCATTTCTGTCTTCACTAGTGCTCCCCAAATTTCTAGGAAAGTGCTTTTTTTCCAACGGGGAGCAGATGGTTAGGAGACAGTGTGGGCTACAAAGAAATATTCAACCCATAATTTCTATCCATTTCTTTCTCCCAGCCACTAACCCAATGAGGAGTCTGATTAGATGAGATACCAGGGAGGTTTGGTTACAGACCAAGGGAATAAAATATAAAATGTAGCTGCTTTCCAAATTAAACAGACAGTAAGAGCAGATTGGGAACAAATAATATCCCTGGAGTCAAGACAAGGCTAGGGTTCATCAATAAATCTCACTGAGTTTTCCCAATTCAAGAAGGTCAAATCCTAGAATAATACTCTGAGAGCAGCCGGGAGGGCAGCCACTGAACTGGACGTGCCCTGCCTAGGGCAGAGGGAGCCCAGACTCTGCCAGCCCACACTGCAGTCCTGAGCCCTCGGCCATGGTGAGGGGAAGGGAGCTGTTTCTAGGCCTCGCAATGAGCCAAGATATGACATGGCTGTGAGCATGTGGGTAGTGACCCGTTGGGGAGCCTTGAGTATATGGAAAGCACTGAGTTTCTGAGGAAGCCAACAGCACTGCTCAGAGTCAGGCAGAAAGAATTCATCATCAGGCAGAGATGGAATGTGGCAGACCTCCTGCCTCCTTCAGATGAACTTTTTACATTGGCAAGAACAACAAAGGGAGAGAAGAGATGAAGTGGGGAGAGAAACATGCGCATACCCGCTTCTCCATCTCTAGCATGGACGACCGGTCAGAGGTCTTCTCTTGTTTCTGCTGGGGCAAATGGAAAGCAGACAGTTGTTACTGAAGCCGTCTCAGGGCTGGTGGAGAGCCCAGGCTGGTCAGGCTTCGCCCTCAGACATCCAGTGGCAGATGATGTGGCTCTGGGCTTTCATCGTGGCTAGGATCCCCAAACATTCAAGAGACTGCTAAGCTGAACAGCGCTGCCTCACTGCAGTGTTCCCACTGGGGACAGGGGAGGGGGCTGTGCTGGTGTTCCCTGACATTTACAATACCCTCAGATACTCCCAAGTCCAAAGAGTGTACTCAGCACATTCCCTTGTTGACCCACTTCAGCCCCTTCATTCAGTGTTACCCATTTTCATGCACTGGTATCACTTCTCCCTCTTCTCTGAGTAACACCACATCAGCTACCCTTTAACAGGCTGGACACCCTGGGCATGATGTCTAAGCCCCATGACACTCTTCAACAATCCCTGTTTGCCAGAATATTCTTCTCTGGGGAACTGAGACCACCTCCTTTCCAGAGCAGAGGCTTGTACAGTGGGTAGGATTTCGGGGTTTCTTAGGAACCCATCAGCAGCATTTGCCTAGCTTTGAACAGAATATTCCTTTATCTTTTTTATAGCTTTGAGATAAGGTAAGGTTTTACTCGAATAAAAGATTCAGAAATACTTTAGATCCTTTTTGACTTTCAAGGTAAAATTTTCTGAGGTTAGAAAGACTGAAATATCACAAAGATCCTGAGTGCCTTAAACAGGAAGAGGAAATGCACCCTTAAGTCCCTTCCAGTTTAGCACTATTTTAGCATTATGGAACTGGGAAGAAGTTGTGATTATTTTTACTTTGCCCAGTTCCATGCACAGATAATATTTGATACATAAATTATGTTGGACCTTTTGGGAAGCTTTATTTTCTTTTTCTCCCCAAACTAAGGAATAGCCAGAATCAACAGTCAAACTTAGAATTCTGGCTCCTGTCCTGGGCCCTCGCCACCTGTTCTGAAGGTCATGGCATTCGGCCTTCACACTGCATCTACTGTGGAGCCAAGGAAAGGAACCTGTAGGAGGGGATCCCGCACCATATTTGTTTCTCCCAAGTCTTGGTAAGAAACTGTGGTGGCTGTAATGTCATCCCTATTTTTAGGATCTTTAAATACAGTTAGGCTTCTGGTTGTTTCAACTCTTAGGCCCCTAGAGTTAACAGGGTGAGCCTTTTAAGTAGAAGCGCTATGTGTGAACGTTTGGCAATTATCTCCACATATATGTGTGGGGTTGACAGGCTCTCCCTCCTCTGTCCAACTAAACAGCTCCATTTTTGGTAAGCAGATTTGCTTTGTCACACCACTGTTTCTTCCCTCTGAATTTCAGTAACTTTGTACTTGGCAAAACTGAGTATATTCTGACACACCCAGAAAAGCATCTGGCTAGAGAGTGAATGCTTTTCCCCAGTGACTGGGAAAGGCAGAACTTCCTTTTCCATGCCCTCTGTTCAGGTCAATGTCAGCAAGCTTGTTGTGCTGCTCATCAGCACAGGTGCTAGAAAAAATGAGAACCCTAAAAGGTCAAGAAATATGCTAACTGTTGAGAAGAGAGTGAGGGCAGGTGAGGTCTTTTCCTGACTCACTAATGTTGGGGTAAAAAGGGACGTGTAGGTTTATTTAGCCCATCCCTCTGCCTTGTGACAGGGCCACAACTTCATGGATTTTCTTTCAGATTTAGAAATCTACTTGTCTACAAAATTCCCTTATGCTCCATTGGTGTGTATTGCAGTAGGTGTTGGGAATTCCCTGTATGAGCCAGCTTTGTCAACTATACCCGGCAGAGGGCATGCTTCTTCCAAAATGACAGGAGAGCTCCTCCATTTGGGGCCCTGCCAAGTTCTGTTCCGGGAAGTGTGGGTATGTGTTGGCTGGCCTCCTGGGATTCTATGCAGTTCCGTAGGGGCTGTCTGCCAAGTGCTGGGACCCTTTGCTCATCCTATTCCAGGGGGATGTCAGCAAGAGTTTCAGGGAGTCTTTGCCTGGCAAAGCCCCACACACAATGCCATAGAACCTCAGCATTTGAGTCATTGCTTTGGATTATATCATGTTGCCAAAATGACTAGCCACCTCTGGTTTTCATTTCATGTCCTCCCAGCAAAGGGTCATTCAGTTCAGCTTTCAAAATTCTCAGTCCCTAGGCATTCCAGGAGGGCAATAACGCGACAGGTTTTGTGTTAACTCAGCAACAGCTGAGACAGTGCTTGTCTCTGCTGTCAGCTCAGGGTTTGTCACTGGGGATGAGGTTTTCACCTCTAGAACTCTCCATGGCATCATCTAATTAATTGAGGAGAAGAAGAACATTCCTTCCTCCTATGCCAAAGGAGGGTGGTGGCTTGGACAGACAACATAAACTTGTCTGGATTTGCTATAGGATCAAGCAAACCACTCACTTCTGTAGGTCTAACTTGCTACCTGTCCACTCTAGGTCTTGAAGGTCATGCTTGTCCCTCTCCAAGAGGCGATGTGCAGATAAACTGAGACATGACGAACAAGACAGGAGACACCCTTGAGGTCTAACTTCTTAGGGCTACTTTTCTGCTAAGATGATGATTAACAACATTAATTACCAGCATTTGGATCATCAGGAGCTGTTCACTGAACTATCAGTTTTCAACTTCACATTACACGCTGAATGCTCACATCAGAGTGTCAGCAGCTGTGGCCCCACTCCTGAGGAGGCTGCATCTAGCTCACTTCCTGTCCCTCAGATTCCTGTCCAGTTTGCTGCCTCATTAATCCCTGCCTCCCCATCTTGATTTATTCTTCCTCCCCCTTACCTGGGCCATCTTCTCAAGCTTGGATTTTATATCTGCCAGTTCTAGCTGAGCCTCCTGAAGTTTTGTTTTCAGTTTTTGGTTTTCAGTCAGGGCGCTTTCGTAGAGCTGGGGAGTGAAGAGAAGCAGGTCAGCTAGCAGGTAGGGCTCCCAGGGGGCTCTCTGCCCAGGGGACTGCTGCTCTAGCTGGAGGAGGAAGATATCCAGGGAGAAGGGCATGCGCTGGCATGTGTGGCCTGCCTCTGGAAAGCAACGAAGTGTCAGATGCTGACCACAGGAGAAGGGCGATGCTCCAGCTTCAATAATGTCCACCTCTGGTGGAAAGTGGCCATTTCATTTTCTCCTATGGGGGACTCACAGTGCCGCAAAGTGTGGCTCCCCACACAAAAGATAATTAATTTTTGGAAGCAGCCTTGGGTGGTGTTAGTCAAATCCTGGTTAGCAAAACAAACATTTTCTTAACAAAAATATTTTTTTCCTGGGATCTCAAGTACCTGAAAAGAAAAGTTTCCCCATCTACTTATGGAGCCAGGTACTTTTCCACAAAAAACCAAAGAAAATGAAATATAAAGTGATTCAAATCCTCTCTAAACCTAGATGATGATGATTATGATGATAATGATATATATATACACATATATAATGACACATATACATACTTGACTTTTATTACCCCTACAAAATATTTAGTTCATATTCATAAGATCTTTTTAAAAGAATGTGTTTAAAAAACAGCCAAATGATTTTCATGCTATAATTATTTTTACTGTTTTTAAAAATCTTTAGTTTCTTAATTCTTCCATATGCTTCTAAATTAAATAACTGCAGAAGGCTGCAAGGAATTCATTGTCACTTAAGTTCTTTTTTACCTGATTCAGAACTACATTCATTTTTTTTTTATTTATATTGGGGAAATGGGTCAAGAGATTTATATGTTATAATGCAAGACTAGGAAGATTGGGAAAGAGAGGCGCTACTTTTTTGTAGTCCCTGTTGCTGTCCTCCTCCACACGGCTGGTCAGGGTGGCCAGACGGGCCTCGCGGGCCTCGCGGCGGGCTCTTGCTGATGCTCGGTCGCTGTAAGGATCGCTGGTTGTAGGGTTACTACTACCTCCAGATTCCAACCTGTGGGAGACAGAGGGAGAAGCTGAGCAAGGTAATGTTACGGGCAGAGTGCTTTCCTAAGAAGCATCTGAGAACTACAGCCAGAAACAATGCATAGCATCCTTCTTTTGGCTTTCTTAGCCTGCATTTTGGGCCCTCTTGGCTAAGCTGCATGTCCTTGGAGAGGCAGGCTGTCATTTGCCAAGAACGCAGTTTACATGAATAATTGGTGGTTTGGACCCAAGAGCTGACTTAAATCTTAGAGCTTTTCAAATTAGTTTGGGGTTGAACAGCTTCCCTCAAGACTGTGCTTTTAAAAGCATGAGCTCCTTGGATCTCAATGGCTCCTAAAAAATGACTACGGCGAACTGCTAATGAATCAGAAACATACGGTCTTGGAGAACGAGCCGGAGGCTGAATGGCAACTGGGTCAATGTACAGATGGTTTTGGCTGTACTACAAGCTTTTTGAAATCAAACATTTCAGGGGTACCACTGACAATGCCCACAGCTGTTTTCCTACCCTCTTATCCACATTCCATGTCAAGACTCATGTCTATGATTGAGATTTCTAAATCTTGTAGCATTTTTGAGCTCTCAGAGTTGCAGGTGGTTTCATTTCCAGCACTGGTATGCTCACGGGTTACCTGTGAAGTGTACGACTATCATCCTGACCTTAACCCAGACTTGAGGTCTGAGGCTGCTGTGTATAAACCAGGCCCACAGACTTCTGCACCCCCCAGTTAGGATGGCTTGAAGAGTCACAGCGGCAGAACCTGCATCCTGTGTCTCTTTCCTATGATTGCTACTGTCAGAGCCGGGGTGGCGGAGGGGCTGCAGTGAGTAGCAGACGGGTAGAGGAATAACAACAAGCATGACACACAGGCAGAGAGGCAAAGTAACTAACACCTGTGGAATGGCTACTTCTCTCTCACAGAGATGCTAAGTCTCATGTTCTTCAAGATGTTTTAATTTTTGTTAAACTTCTTTATTGATTTCCTGATTCTAAAAGTAGCACAAGGCTTGCAAAAGCAATTCACTAATGTACGTGCCAAACTTAGAAACTGACGCCCTTCATAATCCTGTCCAAGAAATAACCTCTGTTGACTGTGTAGTCTTGATGCATGTCAAATCCATAAATGTTAAAATACATTTACCTATAAATAAAATTATATAATATATATTTTGTTTAGCTCATCCTCCTTCCTTTATGTATCACTATGACTGTGAGCACTGTACCATGTAAATAAAAATAAATTGGCTTCGTTAAAAAAAGAAAAAGATTGGGGCTGGCTCTGTGGAGCAGCACGTAAAGCCATTGCTTTCTGAGGCAGCATCTCACATGAGCGCTGCTTCCAATTCTGGCTGTTCCCTTTCAGTCCAGCTCCCTGCGAACAGCCTGGGAAAGCAGCAGAAGACGGCTCAAGGGCTTGGACCCCTGCTCTCACGTGGGAGGCCAAAAAGAAGCTCCTGGCTCCTGGCTTTGGACTATCCCAGCTCTGGCAGTTGCAGCCATTTGGGGGGTGAACCAGAGGATGGAAGAGTGCTGTCTTTCCCCATCTTTCTGTGTAATTCTGCTTTTCAAATAAATAAATCATTTTTTAAAGAAATAAAAATAAAAATGACTGCACAATATCCCATTGTGTAGTTATATGATGATATAATCATCCATTGATAAAACATGCATTGTTTTACATTTCTTTTAGATACTCTACACAACGCTATTATGAACCATAATGCATTTACTTTGCTGCTTTCTTTGATAAATATTACAAGGGTAGCTGCCTGGTCACGGGCTTACTACATTTTAAATGCTAATATGTGTTGCCATATGGCCTTCTAGAATGTTTAATTCTTTCCAACCCAACTGTAGGAATATAAAATCTCATTGAGGTTGACTTTACTATTTTAGAATCATCACAGAGGCTCCATATCTTTGGATATTTATCTTTGTTTTTGAGCTGCCTAGTCATGGGCTTCATCCACTGGAGGAATTACCTTTTTCTCATTATTTTTGGAGAACTCTCCATGTAGCAGGGGATTTTAGAATTGTCTGATACTGGTTACAAATATTTTACAAATATTGGCTACAATATTTTTTCCACTTCACTTTCCCCCCTCTGTTTTTAGTTTCTTTTATGAGTAAAGACTCAAAATTTTAGAACATTAAATTTGAATTTTTACTTAGATAGTTTCATCCACGGAAAGATCTCTCCTATGTTAAGACAATAAAACACTCTACTTTTGTGGTAAAACTTTTCTGTTAAAAACAGTAATCCATCTGATATGTTTTTTGTTTTTATTTTTTGATTTGGCTTGAGGGTATATATTTTCCCAAATGTATAGTCAATTGTCCCAATGATCATTTATTGAATAATTCTGACCCCACTTGGATGAAAGCCACTTCTAAATTATGACTTTGCGGAGGTACAGATAGAGTGTCCTATCTAGATCTCTATTTTTATTTTATACTATTACCTAGAGATTTTATTTATCCATTTGAAAAAGTTACAAAGAGAGCTAAATTTTCCATTTGCCTTTTCACTCCTCAGATGGCTGCAATGTCCAGGGGTAGGCCAGGCTGCAGCCAGAAGCTTCATCTGGGTTTTTAATGCGGGTATTAGGAGCCTTACTAGTTGGGTTCTTTCTGCTTCTTTTCCTCAAGTCATTTCTAGGGAGCTGGATTAAAGTAGAGCAGCTGAAACACGAACCCATGCCTATAGAGGATGCCAGTGCTGCAGGCAGCAGCTTTTACATGTTGCATCACAACATTGGCCCCTATTCTTTATTCCTGATATAACATCTCACTGTTGTGACCACTACAGTTTTACAACATAGTTTGATGTCTACAGGGAACGTCTTTCACAAATGGCCATTGTAACAACAGAGTTCATAGGAGATTAACTACAGCACCATACTACCCTATCAATTTAAAAACTAAGCAGCTCTATGTTACGTTAAAACTAATGATTTATCTTTGGCTGATGACCCATGAGACGATAAGCAGAGAAAAAATATATACACTCACACCTTAGAATATATTAAGAAGGCAGAACCAGTTCAATTACCACAGAAATTACAGTGGAACCCATCTGTCCTGTTCTATCCCCTAACCTCCTCTTCCCCTAGCACTTCCTAATTTCTACAGCAGGGGAGCAATAGAAAAGAAATTTCTGGATCCATAGTTTCCATTACTTTAACATTTATTTTCTCTTTTAGGAAGATAGGTTCTTTATCCTTATATTCGAGGTAAAAAATTATAAAGGATCATTTCCAAACTCTGATATCCTTTTTAAAATTTTCAACAATTACAGAATAGTCTTCAGTTCATCCAAGAAACTATTCCTGAGCACCAGCTATGGACAAGGTGCAGGGCTGGATCCACCATTAAAAGACAGTATCTAACCTCAATGCCAGTGCGGGCTTACACTCTGCAATGAAGTAGCTTCTTGTCTGTGTTCTGAATCCCATATGTCTAACAAGCACCTACTACATTCTGTTGAGATGACTTGTCTTTCTACTGGTTTAAAAGCTAACTGCAGATGAAGATAGTATATTATTCATGCTGTTTTCCTAGTCTGGTACATTGGTGCTTTAGTAAACAAACAAATGAGTAAAAATAAAAATGGCAAGAGAAGAATCTGGAGCCAGAAAGGTGAGTGAAAAAGCTGTTCCAAACTTTTGGGTAGGAGATAATAAAATTTTGAATTATTGTGAATGAAAAGGAAGGAAGGGACGTGAGAACCATTACTAAATTATTACATAAAGCTAAATTGAATTAGACATGCACTCTTTCACAACTGTTAAACATGCATATAAAACAGTGAATTCTTACCTAGAAAGTCTTTCATGCTAGAGAAAGGAGACAAAAACAAAAAAAAAAAAAAGAGAAAACATTATTAGCAAAGGACTTACTTTTATCATTTCCACTTACAAACACATTTTCCAAATCAGACATCTCAGCTTCACAGCGGTGGAGGGGACACCATTTAATAAGTCTCTGAGTGCACAAAAGGCTACTCAGCTCTAGCTCACACTTGTTTGCCTTCTGTGACTTGCCACATTTGAGGTGGGGACAGACTCTTTTAAAACTGGATGCCAGCAAAATGCGAAACAAAAAACTGCCACCTACCCCTACAGGCCAGCCCACCTTGTGTTCTAGGGATGGCACGCTGAATTTTTTGTAAGACATTTCTTTAAATCTCAATATTCGTTCCATTAATTTCCTCCCCTTTACAAATTGGCAAGCCTTCTCAACCAAATAGTGTAACTTATCAATCTTACAACACAGGCGAGTTCCTGCGTTTCCCCTAGATCTTTAGCCAGAGGAAAGGACTGAAGGGATTTCAGGGAGAGGGTAAGTCTGTAGGACACTGGCAAAACACTGAGAGAAGTAAGGAGGCATTCTGAAATCGCAGAAGAAGGCTTAATCACTCCATTTTTTTCTTTATTGTGGAAGAATTTTATTTTATTTTCAAAGACAAAGGAGAGCTTTCCTGGATATGTTATTCTGGGCTGAAATTTTTTTCCTTTTACAATCTGGAATATGCCACTCCATTCTCTTCTGTCCAGTAGTGTTTCCTCTGAGAGTTCAGCTGTGAGTCTGATTGGGTTTCCTCTATAGAGTACTTGATATTTTTTCAGGTGCACATTTAAGGATCTTTTCTTTATGTTCAACTGAAGAGAGCTTGATTATCATGTGTTGTGGTGAACACTTTTGATCAGCTTTGTTGGACGTTCTGTGCCCCTCCTGTAATTTGTTTTTCAATTTCTCCAGATTAGGTAAGTTTTCATTATTTTTATTGAATAGATTTTAAAAAAAAGATTTATTTTTATTGCAAAGTGAGATATACAGAGGAGGAGAGACCCAGAGGAAGATCTTCCATCTGAAGATTCACTCCCCATATGGGCACAGTGGCTGGAGCTGAGCCAAATCGAAGCCAGGAGCCAGGAACTTCCTCCAGGTCTCCCATGCAGGTTCAGGATCCCAATGCTTTGGGCTGTCCTCAACTGCCTTCCCAGGCCACAGGCAGGGAGCTGGATGGGAAGTAGGGTTGCTGGGATTAAAATCAGTGCCCATATTGGATTTCTGCACGATCAAGGTGAGGACTTTAGCCGCTAGGCCACTGTGCTGGGCCCTTGAATACACCTTTAATCCTAGCTTCTCTTTCTGCACCTTCTGGTGCTCCCATAACTCTTGCATTGGTCGTTTTAAACATTGGTCTTGGTCCTTTTTAAAATTTTATTTTATTATTATTATTATTTTATGATACAGTTCCATAGGTTCCTGGTATTTTCCTTATCCCAGCCCCAATTTCCACCCCCCACCTAGTTCCACTATATCATTACTAAAGTATAGTTCTTCATACACAATCATATGTCCATCATTGCAGGCATGGACAATGGCGGACAGTCCAGTATCCTATTGTCAAGATATAGTAAACAGTTTCATTGTAAGTCCATCTTTGTCTGGAAGTAGAAATGCATACTACATTGTATCCTCACATCTGGATATGTTAGTCTCCATTTCACAGCTACTGTACATCCCCTCAAATGAAAAGTCATAATACAAAATCAACAATAGAAAGAAAAATAGAAATTTACAATGCTATGAAGTTAAATAACATGTTACTAGATACGACAGTCTCCATTACACAGCTACTATACATCCCCTTAAATGAAGAGTCACAAAACAAAATCAACATCAGGAAGAAAAAAGAAATGAACAACATCAAGAAGTTAAATAACATGCTACTGAATGACTAATGTGTAGCTGAAGAAATGAAAATCAAGGCTTCATCACTAAATGAACTCAACAACAAAGCAGTAGGTCCCGGCTTTACACTGACTTACTTTCCCTGCCATGATAACACCCTCTTTGCTTTTTAAAAAAGAACTCAGGCAATTACCTTGGTTGATTAGGGTATTTATTTATTTCCTCTTTGAAGTGTTAACTTGATGTAACAACAAAATTCTCAAGGACAGACAAAAGGAAGAAGAGACAAGCTCCAGTAATCTATCAAATGAATAACAACTCCTTCAGCTATCAGGAATCACTGAGCAACCTGCTTTGTTGAAACATTAAAGTCACCACAGGCTTGCTAAAAGGCCTTCTCCATGTAAACCTGGGTTACACTCACAGACTCAACTGGCGTACTTTTCCCAGTGAATGTCAATTCTGGAGACCCTCTTTCTACTGCATCTAGAACAGGCCTTCTTATAATGTCTTTACCAGCTATGTCATCATGCTGGCCCTGGGAGAACCGTTCTTAACAGTTCGTCCAGTGATGGACTGTCCATCCAAACCCTCTTTGGAAGAGTAAAGTGACCCAGTGAGAATCAAACTGGCCTGCTAGATGCCTTCTTTTCTTTGATCTTATTGAATAGTAAGACAATTTTTGCCCAGGCTGACAACTGAGTGACAGAAATTTGGGAAAGTTAAATCATGACTATTTGTTGACTTTGTTTGTGTTGCAATGAAGGACTTCATGTGAAAATATCTGTCCTTCTGGGGCTGCAGCAATGGCTCACTTGGCTAATTCTCCACTTGCAAGCACCGGTATCCCCATACAGGTGCCAGTTTGTATCCCAGCTGCTCCACTTCCCATCCAGCTTCCTAGTTATGGCCTGGGAAAGCAGTAGAGGACGGCCCAAAGCCTTAGGACCCTGCACCCATGTGGGCGATCAGGAAGAAACTCCTTGCTCCTGGCTTCAGCTCTGGCTGGTGTGGTCACTTGGGGAGTAAGTAAGTAAATGGAAAATCTTGTTCTCTATAAATCTGCTTTTCCAACAAAAATAAAATTTTTTTTTAAGAAAACATTTGTCTTTCCTTTTTGTAAATATTTTATTTTTTTGTAAGATTTTGCTACACCTTCAATTTTTTTTTAAAGATTGATTCATTTTTATTGGAAAGTTAGATGTAGAGAGGGAGATCTTTTGTCCTGATTTACTCCCCAAGTGGCAGCAGCTGCTGGAACTGAGGCTATCTGAAGCCAGGAGCCCAAATACTTCTTTCGGGTCTCCTACATGGGAGCAGGGTCCCAAGGCTTTGGGCCATTTTCTACTGCTTTCCCAGGTCATAGGCAGGGAGTTGGATGGGAAGCGGGGCCACCAGGATTAGAATTGGTGCAGATAAGCAATCCAGGTGCATGCAAGGCGAGAACGTTAGCCACTAAACTATAGTGCCAGGCTCAACATCTTCAGTTTTAAAAATATTCTGTACAGACACTGACAGTTGCCTCTAGAGCAAAGAATCAAGCCCCTCTTTTTTCTACTAAAACAGAAATTGGTACCTTTACTGCAAATCAATCCTAGTCATTATATTTATCAAAGCATGCTAATCATTTCCACTGATTTATTCTTATAAGAATGACATGTAATTATCCTTTTCCTTTGGAATGCTCTAGAAGCACACTGAATCTCTCCACGCCCTGTCATCACCCCAAGGAAAGTGTTCAGCTAATGTGGGTACACTGCGGCTGTGTAGATGGGATCCTCCACCGAGGGCTGACAGGTGCAGCCCACTGGCCGTCATCTGAGACGATGATGAGGGAAGCTCTCTCACTTCCGCCTGTCAGAGTAACTAAAGCAATCTCACAGTTGGCTGTTTGTCATTGTCTTAAGGTACATTACTACTGTTACTGAATTATTTGGGGTGACCTTTTATAAAAATACGTGTGTGATGAATGGTTCAGGAGGTCAGGCAGTGGACAATTCATTTGGATCCAGAGATCAGAGGAGCCCCCATTTCATCCTTTTTTTACTAATCACCTCTCCAGTGCCCTCTCTGCGTCACCCCACGTTTATCTGACTTTGGGAGCTGTATAGAATCCTGGGGGATTTTATTATTGCCTTTAAGGGTTAATGCTAGGAAGGTCAACTCAGCCAAATCAAGGAGGGCATATAAATCTAAAACTTCAGAAATTATTGAGGTTGGGATGCAGCAGAGGTATATTACTGTCATATGAATAATTATTTCCAAAAAAAAACCCAGAAAATGGGGATATGCAGATTTTAAAGGAGCTAATATTCTCTCATGGAAATGGTTTCCCTCCAGATTTTTTTTTTTTGCCTAAAAAATGGTCTTATAAACTAAAAGGCAAGATTACTTAAACATATCCAGGATTTAGTGTTTAATTCTCCAGCCTCTGATAAAATGGCTTAGGTTTTTAGATTATATTTCCTATACAGTTTTTGTTAGCAGAGTATCTTTAGAAATAATTGTTATATATGGCATCCAGATATCCTGGACAAATGGGATTTTGTGGAAAACACTAGTTAGGTTTAAGGAGAGAGAAAGAAACTTGGGCTTTTTTGTGTGTGTAAAGGAGCAAAATATCTGGAGTGGATGGAGATTTAACCTCCATTCCTCCACTTTTTTTCCTCCTGTTGTCAGTCAAACTCAGCCTAGTTCAACTGGCAGGGTTACACTGCTTCTCATTCTAGAGAACTGAACGCTCGGTCTGCCAGGGAGGCTCCTGAGTAAAGCTGGAGAGTGAGAGATAAGTAGGTGACATTGGAAGAGGCAAGACAAATGCGGTCTAGGGCAAGGAACACTAACAAGTTCCTCCAGGATGCGAAGAGGCCAGCCGCCTGGACAGGAAACAAGGACACGGCCCAGGACACAAGGCTTCGGTGACTGGGAATGTGGGTTCCTCTTGGGCATGGCTTCCCCTGAGCTCCCTCCTGAAAAACAGAGCAGTTATTCTTCTTCTTGGACTCTTTCAGTAGGGTCCGAACAGCTCATCTGTTCATGATGATAGCCTGCATTTTAGGAAAGGCGCGAGTCTCTGTTTAATTTGCAGGTTTATGCCCAAATGTTCTATGTCTTCTGCCCTAGTCAGAAAGTATTA